ATGTCCTATGGTGGCATGGTAGGCCTTGCCCAGTCAGCTCCTCTCTACTGGTCTAGTAGAAATGTAATTTAGCAGAACAGTTTGGAGGCTAAGAACCCAGCTTGAGACTGCAGAGCCTTCAGTGGGATGTTTAACCACTTTATGCTTTCTGTGAAGTGGGGATAATACTGGTACAGAATGATTATGAATATTGAGTTAATATACATACAGCAATAAGTACAATGTCTCACATTAAGTGCTAGCTAGCTATTTAAGCACCTAAGGGCAATGAGTTTTGTTTTATTTAATACCTGTATCCACAATGTCCAGAAAATACAGTAAGTATGTCATATATATTTTTGAATGAATGAAAAAACCCTGAATAATACATTAGTATCTCCCCTGCCCTTGACTTAAATGAAACTTTGAAAAGTCTATCATGAAATAATATTTTCTGAAATCTTAAAAAAGCCTAACTAAACACTTCTCATTAGGTTGAAGAATTAGAAACAATGTTGAGTATTATATTATCTAGAACAAAACATGCCATGACTTATAAGATTAATTGAAAACTGAATGCAGTACATTTTGCGATAATCTGACAAAGGACCATGTAATAAAGAGACACTGTTGACTATTTTATTGTTACCACATAGACATTGGTATTTATAACAACACACAGATTTGGTTAAGTTGGAAAATTATGTGGGTGTGAAAAACAATTGAATCGCCGAGAATTACATACTCTGCCTCACTGTAAAAAGAGGAACATTATTTCTTCAAATAAGATCATTTATGTTTAATAAACTTAATGCTTTTTAAGGTAGCTTGCTTTTTAAGGTAGCAAAAGCTCTCTAAAGGAGGTTATCATAAAGATAATTATATACAGGTAATTTTTAACATCTATAAATAGACAATTTAGGATTTTTTTTCAAAATGATGAACATGGAGAAGAATTATTATATTGTCCTAAACTATTGAGTAGATGTTAGGAGAAATAACTGGAATAGTTAGGCTGACCAGACAGTCAGTCCTTCAATCCCACACCTAGAAGTCCTTCTACATTTGCAACGATCTCTCTGGAAACTAAGGTTAGTGCCTGGGTAGTCTGTTTTCTGATAATTCTTGAAACACTGGTCTGGTTCTACTTTCACCGACAGCTTTGAGTGGCAAATTCCAGCTGCCTTTTCCTATACTAATACTCCCTTTAAGAACTGTGATAGTCTCTATGACTGTGGATACTGATTCTGCTTTCAAATGATAAGTTACGGTTGAGTTGATAACCCAGTGTAGAGAGAACACCACCTGCAGGGTCACCTACAAAACTGAAATGATGCAACTTCCTCCCCCACCTAAAGAGCTATATGACTGACTGTTCCCAGTTTGCATCCCAGGACCACTCATATTCCCACTGTGGGTACAATGTCTCAGCACTGAATTCTGTGGGTCTCAGCAGACGTCATAAGAAATTCCTACCTGGACCAGACTATATCCTGTGCGCTGGACCAGTGCGCGAAGGGCTGCTTCCTTCTGGGTGCCGCTCAATCCATCCCCGGATTTGTGATTTGATTCCATTGAGAGTGATTATCAGCAAAAAATCAGGTTAATTAGGGTTGCTCACTGAAACCAAATTTAAGATAAATTAAGTAAATTGCTGTTGCCAAGTCCAAACTTGTCCTTTTCATGAAGGACATCTTTAGGAAACATTCTCTGCAAATGAGACATCGGGTTAAAGCAACTAACAGCCACACACAAACAAGGCCAGTTACACATCCTCATTAAGGAAGAGTTTTAAAAAAATGTTCAACTTTAGCTGAAATTTAGAAGTCAAAAATGAGTAGTATCCCGTCTCCAATTAGAATGCAGATCAGTAATTCTCAATCCAGTGACCTGCGAATGTCACCAAATGCTCAGATACAAATTAGCGCTTGTCAATTAAAAGAATATGCAGAATGATCCTCACAGATGTGGGAAGGAGGGCACTCTTACTAAATCAGTCAACTAGAATAAGGTGTCAGGATCCTGAGAGTGTTAGCTTCATTTATCTATTCTGTGTGTTTAACTAAGACATTTATCTACTAGAGGCACGAATTCATCCACGTTGTGGTCCCTAGGCCTGGCCGGCAATCAGGCCAATTAGGGCTAGCTGAAGGGGGGCAGGGGCGGGGAGCGCAGGAGGTTGGACAGCTGTGGGGAGGGACTGTGGAGGTTGGCCTGCTGCAGAAGGTTGGCTGTGGAAGCGCACTGACCACCAGGGGGCAGCACCTACATTGAGCGTCTGCTCCCTGGTGGTCAGTGCATCATTTGGTGGACCGGTTGTAATGGTCGCTTAGGCATATATATATATTCTCCAAAGATAAATTTCTAGAACAGAATGCACTGGGAGCAAATACAGAAGTCCTCATGCAAACTACTTTATGTAATAAAAATGTGACTTAGGTTTTAACAAAACAATAATAGATCCTTTTGAGTGATGTTGAAAGGGCTTGCTAACATCTGGATCATGTACCACACAGACCACTCAGTAGAGGACATAAAGCCATTTGTAAAAATCTAAGAAACTATGGAAGTTTATGTCCGGGTTTATGTAGATATGAAGGTGCAATTTCAGCATTTTATTAAAGTTGATGCTTTCTGTCTGGGTACAGGTTTGAACCCATTTCAAATGTGATGGCTGTTGCGATTCACAGGTTTCCAGGGTAAGGATATGGCCCTGCGGAAGGCCCCTGCTATAGTGGTTGAGGTTCTGAAGTCTCCCACGTGCATAAGGGGAGCACACCAGCTGGGTGAGAGCGTGAATGGCTCAGTGAAGGTTCCGTGCTGGGTTTCCACTCTGCTTAATGTGCTCTGCCAACCAAGACAGTGGAAACGTGTTTTATGATGGTTTGAATCAAATGCAAATCTAATGGGTTTGACTCTAGGCCCTTTTAAAATTTTTTTCTGTCCTGTGTATTGAGATATCCTGTACTGATTTTGGTTGTCATTGAAAAATTCTGAATGAATAAAGAATAAAATAAAGATTCGGAATGAATGAACCATTAATGACATAGAAAACTGGGCCAAAAATTAGGTGAGAAAAGAAAAAAAAGATGAAGAAACCTGAAGTCATAATTTCAGTAAAATGTAGAATTAAAATATATGAAAATAATAGAATTTTAAAATGCCCAAACTAATAGACGAGCATCATTAAGAAAACAACATTTTCAATAAAGTTAAGAAAACCAAAGGAAAGAAATAATGAGATTCCAGAAAGATAATACCCATTGGCTGTTATAGGGACAGTCAGTTTTATGCTCTTCACACAAGCATGGCCATTCTTGCCCTTGTCCTTTCTAGTCTTGCTTGCTTCTGACCCAGGTCAATTCAGTCTTCACTCACTCACTCTCTTTAGGAGTATTTCCTTAGTGCTGTCTGTATGTCAGCCCATCCCCTGCCCAGTTTTAGGGCATTGAGTTTTATGGGCATCAGGCTAACATATCCCTTTCTGTATCTGTACTTTGCAAACTGTAGTGAATTAAAGAGAAAAAGAAATCCTAACTTCACATCTTGGCTACAACAAATTGAAGGGAATCTTTAGGAATGACAGTGGTGATTTGGTCTACGTGTAGCAATCCAGGGAGGGACATGTCACTTTACAGACACATTTATAGTATAAAGGCTCTTTCTCTGGACACTACAAGGTAGGGGGAAATGAGACCTGTTTTCACTCTATAATCCCAACCTGCTGGTGAATTCAGTCATAAAACCTCTACAGAAAATATAAATCCTCTTAAAAACATAAACCTACAGAAAGGATTTTGAAGATTTATAAAGAAAATTAGCCTTTAAGACAAATCTAATTCTTGCCCTGTTCCCAAATGTTACTAAAATTGTTTTTTGTTTTTTTTTTTTCATCGGGACACTCTCAAACTCTCCCACAGTGCTGAATTTAACCTGCCAAAGCAAGGAGGCTATAAACGGACTTGGGCCTGATGAGGTTAGTCATGAGTGTCTTACAGATGTTTGCAGGCAGAGTCTGTTGTTTTTTTTGGCCAAGTTGTAGATTTGCTCTTTGCTGAACTTCATCTTTTCTATCAAAAGATAACAGTTCATGGTGAAACAAGTTTTATTTACAACACCTATCTTTAGTTTTGGTTAATAATTAGCAAAGGGGATCAAAGATATTTTACATCAGAAAAGCCTTTTGATTACATTTAGATTCACTTTGAAATTATTAAGAAAGTCTGTATGGCATCTTAATATAATGTCAAGTCATTGGAAATCAGAATATTGAAATAAAATTCAGAAATTGCCGTAAGAGAAACTTGATCTTCAAAAACAAATCGCTCTCCCAACATTGAACTTGAATCCCAGATAAATATTTTTTTAGGCAAGTCAAATTTTTGTTTCAAAAATTGGTCAATTTGAAACAAAGGTTTTGCAATATGTTATCTAATTTAGCACCTTGTGAATTCTTCAGATCTTAGGCAACTGCATTTTACAGATAGTTCCTGAAGTAACTTATTGAGGCAATAGATCCACAGCCTATATATAGCAGGCTGTAAGACCATTGGAGCTAAAGGAAAGCATTCATGACTATTCATCACTATTCATTCAAAAATTATTCACTGAGTACCTACTATTATCCAAGCAATTTTTGAGACACAGGGATAAAACAGAGAACAACAGAAACCCCTCTCTCCTTAAAATCTCAACTTTATAGCAGTTAATGGACTTGTAAAGTGGTTATGACAATAAACAAAATAGTGATATATACAGTGTGCTTATGATAATTTCTGTGGACAAAAAATAAAAAGTGGAAGGGGCATATAAAGTGAAATATGAAGTGTGGGGGGATGACATTTTCAGATAGTATGGTTTAGAGAGAGTGAATTTGGGAAGAGAACTGGGCGAAGTGAGGGATGTATTTGGGAGAGAGCATTCAAGGCAGTGGGCCTGGCAGGTGCTGGGGCTTGCTGGTGAAATATGAGGAGGCCCATGTGGAGATGAAGCTGAGTGCGTGAGGAGAGAAGTGGGAGTTGGGTTTGGGAGATAATGGTGGACCAGGTCATGTAGGACCTTCTACTAGTCCATCATGAGAAGGGCTTTGGATTTTGCTCTGAGAAGTGAAGCCAGACAATTGACAAGATTTTACTTAAGTTTTAACAGAATCACTGTAACTGTTGAGAAAACATTGAAGGGAGTCAAGTGGCACCGGGACTAAGGTGAGGAAAAGGAGGTGAATAATGCAAACACAGGTCCTGTTTTTATTTAAAAATTTGCTAGTTTAAATTATGAGTTTTTTAAAAAATATTACAGCTTGGCCAGCATGGCTCAGTGGTTGAGCGTCGATCTATGAACTAGTTAGTCATGGTTTGATTCCTGGTCAGGTCACTTGCCCAGGTTGTGGGCTCGATCCCCAGTGTGGGGTTTGCAGGAGGCATATGATCAATGATGCTCTCTCATCATTTAAGATTCTATCTCTCGTTCCCTCTGCCTTCCTCTCTGAAATCAATACAAACGTATTTTTAAAATATTACATTAAAATGTCATTTGTCTTGATTACTGAGTTTTGATATTTCTTAAATTTTACATTCACGGTGATGCCCCACTCCTCTCACTCAAGTTGCCAGGGGAGTGAAGGGGAGAAGCAGGGAGACCAGTTAAAAATTATTGCAACATCCAGGCAAGATAATCGTGGCTTGGACTATTATCTTGTGATAGTGGGGAGAGGGGATGAAAAATGGTCAAATCTTGGATATAGTTTACAGATGAATGTGTTGTGAGAAAAAATGAGAAGTCACGGTTGACATCCCAATTTTTGGCCTAGACAACTTTAAGAGCAGAGTTGTCATTAACTGAGTTTGGGAGCAGCAAGTTCATGGAAGAGGAGCAGTAATCAGCCATAGGCACGCTGATTTTGAGATGCCATTAGATAGCCATTAGTAGAGAGGTTGAGTGGACAGTTAGATATATGAGTCTGAATTTTACGGGAGAGTTCCAGACAGGACATATTGATTTGTAAGCTATTTACATAGAGCTATTTAAGCTGTAACATTGGATGAGGTCATCTAAGGACTGAGTGTAGAAAACAGGTCCAAGGACTGATCTCTGGGGCACTCCAGCTTTTGGAAGTCAGGGAGACATGGAAGAACTAGCAAAGGAGAATGGAATGGGATAGCCAGAAAGGTAGGACAAGAACCAGGTGAGTAAGGTGGATTGGAAGCCAAGTGAAGAAAGGATTTGGGGGAACAATTGAGTGATCAGGTGTGCTAATCCTGCTAAGTCATGTAAGATGAAGCCTGAATAGGAACATCGATCCCAGAACAGGACATTCTGGGTTCAGATCCTCATTCTGACTCTTTCTGTGTATTCTGGGAAAGTTCCTTCTCCTCTTGGTGTCTCAGTGTCCTCAGCTTAGGAGCTGACTCTTTCTGTGTATTCTGGGAAAGTTCCTTATCTTGGTGTCTCAGTGTCCTCAGCTTAGGAAGTAATGGTATTTCTCTGAGGGTCTTTGTATTGCATGAGTCAATATATTGAATGGATGGTAGACGATTTCCTGGTATATAGTCAGTGCTAGGCATAGGTATATAGTGATCAGCATAGGCATATAAAATATAAAAAAGGAAAATAGAGAGGCA